AGCGCTTCAAGAGCTGACCTGCGTCTGACCTCAAAGTGCACAAGCGACCAACTTCAGGGTTGGCTGCGATTTTGAAGCTGAAATCGCGTTCGGTGTGAACGCAGCATAAGTGGGGCAAACACTGAACTCCTTGTGTTACGCATGAGTCTATGAAAGCGATACAATGATTTATTCAGATTAGCTTAGATGTAGCTGAGTGCTGTAGGAATTAGGGGTGCAACAACACATGTACCCGTATCGAACAGTGCTGTATGGAACAATACAGATTTTTAAATTTACTTTATCAACTTGTCTTCTGAAGATGCTCTGTGTTGAAGTATCAGTGGATCTGTGTTCAACTACTCCACCTAGACTGCATTTTTGAGAGCAGGTCCACTGAGAAACTTGCTGTTTCAGCAACATTTAATTTAAAAACTGTACTTTTGAGGTTAAACAAATGTTCATAATTAATTTAAATAAATTACAAGTTAAAGGGGCATGGACATTTCTCTTTTTTGTATCGAAAAAATATCGAACCGTTAGACTAAAGTCTCGAACCGAACCGTTAATTTTCTGTGTCATTGCAGCCCTAGTTGGAATGTGTTTGTGGATCAGTACATGGGGGCACAGATCGTATCAGTTCAGCCCATTCACATTAAGATGTTCATTAAAGTCGAGTTAACCTTGTTTTGGTGAAACATAAATAATGTTATATGATCTGGTCAGATATGTTTGCTCTTATGCGCTAACCCCTAACCCTAACCTAACCTGTGTGGTGAATAACTTTGTTACTACCATATCAAATTTATAGTTAAAGCCATTTTTGAGTTGTTTCATTTCAAATAGCTTTGGCAGCCATCTTTAACTGGACTGACTCCAAAGGTAATCAGTTTATAGATCTACAGCCAATAATTACTTTCTGTAGGTTTTATTAAACTCCATCTCACACACAAAATTTAAGCACAATATCTGTAAAATTGACTGAATACGGCATTTTTTTGTTGTTTTAATGTCAGATGACTCTGGCAGCCATCTTAAGTCAAACTGATTCAAAAGGTTAACCAACCAAGATGAAAATGTAATCATCACTTTCTATTAGTTTCATTAATATTGGTTCAGCGTTTTAAGACATTTAATTACAAACACAAAGACAAAAATACGGTTGTTCATCTTCACCTTTTAGCAGCAGGTGATAAAAATGACGTTCCAAATTTGTGGGGATAGTGTACTCATAATCTGACTCGTGAATTGATTAATTTTACTCTAGATTAATTAACTTGCTGTAAAATATATTTAATAACATAAAATATACTTACTTAAGGCCTGTTAGCTCCTTCCCAAAGAAGTGAATGACCACTGAACTGAAAACAAAGCTGGAAAACACTGTAAATAATCCTGCAATACCTGAAGACATAGAACAAAAATGATAACATTTTAATTGACGTGAGATTTTTTTTTTCAGGCCGAGGGCTGTGAGAAAATATTTGTGCAACTTGAATGAATAAAAATCATTTTTTCTGACTATTTGCTTCATTAAATAAAATCACATAATCAAACAATCAAATACTGAAGGTATGCTTAAGTAAAAGACAAAACAGTAAGTGAATATTGTTTGTAGTTTACTCCTTACAATGCAGAGATGAGAAACTGATCAACGTATCATCAACATATTAACATACTGACCCAGAATATATTTGGATCCCAGTTGTAGAAGATTTTTAAACTGAAAGTAGATGTAAATTATAGCTAAACAGCGAGTGACTGTCAGGATGATTATGTCACTACTGAGGACTTCCTGTAAAAAAACAACAACAGACAGATGTGTCTTACTGTTACAATCAAACATTTCTTTACTTTCTTTCATCGTTGACATTCACCTCACCTGTTCAACTTTGGGGCAGTTATTCCAGGTGCACATCTGGTTACTGGTTGCTAAGCTGTTCATGGACATGAGGCAGACGGTGACAGCTAGGGTCCCCACTATCACTTCCCATGGGTGGGAGGCCACCAGCAGCCCATGGAACCTGAACAGTCGGGCCAACATGGTCTTAAGGTGCAGATCTCAGGGTCACAGCTTCTGTAAAACAAAAAAACACAACTGAGTGGGTTTAGCCAAGTTTCAGACAATATTGTGTTTTTACTAAATGCAAACTATGCCTATGAAGACATAAATGATTCCTCTTTTTATTATAATATTCTCAAGCAGACATATTTCCTGAGTGGATTCAAACTCAAATGGACATATGGTATAAAATACTCAAACACAGAAAAATTGAAAGAAATGCAAGGATTTTGAGATGGCCCACCTATGATACAGATTTTTTTTACCTTCAAGCATGGATAGAAGATGCACACAATGGGCACAGAAGGGTATAACAGGTTATTGGAAGATTACGGACAAAACGATGTTGCAAAACTTTCAGCAACTTCAAGAAAACTTTAATTTAGAAAAACAGGATTTTTTTTAAGATATCTTCCGCTAAGACACCATTATGACAAAAATATAAAGCTATTGAGGATGAGGAAACAGGATTAGTTAAAATTTTCTCGGCACATGTAAAGGAAAACCTCTAAAGAAACTAGTATCAAGAATATACTCATGTTTACAATCAGGACGAAATCAAAATACAACAAACATTAAAGAAACTAAAGCTGCTGGAATGGCCCAGCCAATCACCTGACCTGAATCCAACAGAAAATCTATGGAAAGAACTAAAGATCAGAGTTCATAGAAGAG